GCGAGATCTTCCCAGTCTTCTGGGCCCCAGATGGGGAATTTTTGGTGAGAGGAGGACGACGCTGTGGCCTGCGCCTCCTTTGATGTGGTGAAGAGGGCGGCTGGTGACGAAATGCTTGTGACCATGTATTCGTCTTCGTCGAATTCGACGGTTGCTGTTGTGGCCATGCTCGCTTGCCAGACGGCGTCGCGGAGCTCTTTGGGTAGTTTTGGGAAGAGCGTAAAGGTAGACATGGCGATGGTATTGGTAGTGATGTAGTAATGGTTTTGTCTGGCGTACTGGTATGTGTACTGGTTTTGTCTGAAGCGAGTTCGGACGGGTATGGTAAAATGGTATGAGAGGATAGTTCTGATGAGAGAGAGAGGGGGGAATGGGCTGCCTTTTATTCAGACTCAAAGCGCGCTAACTGCAGTACCAGACTACTCGGCGGCGAAGAGTCATAAGGTCGCCTGTGTCTTTGCTCCACTCAAAGCGTCCAACGAGCATATTGTCACGTCACAAGAATCACAGAGCTACCCTATAACACGACATACCGAATACAATCAGCGCATCGACCAAGAACCGATACTCAAGTTCACAGCCGGAGGTACTCGCCGCATCACATAGAATTGTATCGCGCAAGCGTTCGACCAACGATCGAGACCCGATTTTGCAGCCCGGAAGTACGCGCCGCACCATATGGTGTCTCTGGACTTATCCTTATCTTGCGAAAACCTTCGACCAAAAACCGAGACTCAGTTTTGCAGCCCGGAGGTTCTCGCTGCACCTCATGTTGTTCCTGGTTATGTCATTATATCGCTCAGAACTTCAGGCAACCACTTCAGACCCATAACACTAGAGAAGAGACTCCTGCGATATGACACCGGTGCAAGAGTTTTCAAGTCATATGATCGCTCCCATACTTACTCTGCGACCACTCGTGATGGCTTGTGGTCTCAGCATAGGCAACGCCCGCTCTGCGACCCCCGGAGTTTACCCAGCTGCCCAAAGCTCAGCCGATTACGCATAGTTTACCCGAAGCTATGACAAGTCTGCGTTGCTGTTCTCAATCGTCTTAGCGCTAGTAGCCTAGTTTGAAGACATGTACCATCGCGCTTGTTCAAGTTTCTCAAGACACTTGATCGATGCATCATCCGCTTTCACATTTACTAAAGCCGTAAGATGTTTCTTATCGCTAATTGCTAGTTTATATTGCCATTTTGGATTGCAGTGTCTGCTCAGGTATCGTTCTCTGTCACTCGCCAGTCCGGATTGAGCGCACAGTCGTCTGCTGACTAACTCGTCCCCGCTCCCACATACTCTCTTCACAAACCCAGACCTTCCCATCCCTTCTTCCATGCAGTTCTATCCTGCACCTTCTCCACCCTCAAACCACGGCTCCGAGCCTGTTCGTAGATTGAGTCATCAACCTCGGAGACTTTCCGCCGCTCTCCTGCGTCGCTTTCGCTAGCGTCGTCATCGCTCTCAGCTGGATATACGGACTGGTCGTTGCACGGACTCTCCCCAATCTTGATGGTCTTCAAGTTTGGCCATTCTGTTTGGCGATCCAGGAGATGCTTGAGGTAGCGCTTGGTCTCGTACTTTGCATCCATGATACTGATGCTCTCGATCGTGGTAGGTAGATGACAAGTTCGGAATTCCTCGTTCGCAGAGAAGAAAGCTTCCTGTGGGGCATTGAGATTGCGAAGTTTAGGTAATCCAGCAAGCCAGGTCATTGGAGATACACCGCGAGTATACTCCAACATGATCATGTACCTGACCAGATCTTTGAGGGTGGGCTCAACGTCCAGAGTCAGATTCGTCAAACTGCGGCTCTCCAGATGCGCGACAATATGCGCGAAAGATCCTCGTGGAGTGTTGCGAGGATCGAAGTCGTCATGTGAGTCGAGAACAGTGCGGTACAGAATGAATAGGTGGGTCAAGTTTGTAAGGCCGCGGACAACGCTTCTCATATGACCGTACATACCATTCATGTGAATGGCATCATATGAGTAGAGTGCTTCAAATTCCGTTTGGATGACCAGACTGGTCAAGGTCGTAGAAACAGTTGCACCATGTGTAATTTGCGATATCATCGTGCCGTCGTAGTAAGCGCCTTCGAACAGTTTGATCCTCGCGGCTTCAAGCTGTGGTAAACTTAGCCAGCTGCATGGTGGGTAATCATCTGTGAATAGCCGCTTCAGCCTAGATAGACCCTGGAAACAATCTGCCAAATTCTTTTGCCTGGTGATGCCTTCGAACACTTCTTTGAATTCGAACACTTCTTCGAATTCGGTCCAAGCAACGTCGTTATTGCCATTGGGGTTACACCTCGGTGAGTTCCAGATCATCAGTGTGAGATCACTGAGGGCCGACGTAACACACAAGATTAGTCCGACAAGGGCCGTGTCTTCGCCTCTCATCAGCATATCTTCCCAGCCCTTGTTGCGAAGCGGAACACCGTCCTTTGACTTGACACCGATCAGAAACCTCATGAAATGAGTACCAAGGTCCGGAATACCGCAGGTACACTCCTCTTCGCTATCTTCATAATAGTATCCCTCGGATACGCAGCTCTCAGAATGCGTGAATTGCTCGTAAGAGAGCTTGACGTCCAGTTTCCGCACTCTGGTGGCAAGATCGGGTCGCTGCAAGAGAGTGCGCGCGAGAAGCGCGAGACCTCGTTCCAGGGTTGGAGTGATTGAGATATCCGTGTAGAAGACTTCTTGCGCAATAGGTCGTAGCTTCCGGCAACTCAACGCGAGGTGATTGAGATCGCTGTATCCGTTCTTGGTGTCGTCTCGTAGACATTTGGCGACTGCGAGCAGGAGCTCGTCTGGGAGACCGCATAAGTCAGTCATGTCGACGAGTGCGCGTGTCTGAGGCGTGGGGTGATGATCTCAGGTGAGATGAAAGAGCGATAGCCTGGTTCAGTACTGGAGAGCAGGAAGTCGCGAACGAGCCTAGTCTCGACTGGGTAAGCTGCGAACGCGCTATCAGCTGACTGCTCTCTCACTTGCATTTACAGATGTTGCAAGCTCGAGCAGGTTTCACTCACTGTATATCGCAAGGTTGTCTAGTGGTCGCGCTGTGCTCTCTGTCAAAGCCCGTGAAGCACCAGAATGTGTCACTGCCAGATAACTTTAGAGGGCAAAGCATCATAGGTTTGCGATACAGCCTATCATTTTCATTCCACTTCCCAGAACTTTTCGATCAATGTCTCTGAGTACTACTGGTTAAGCTCTCACGTGTTGGCTCCGCTGCGTCCACGGGTCCATCCCTTCATCTATCTTTCCTGCAGTCAATATTTCCCGCTTTTGGACCTAGTCAACCTCAGTGTCTAGGTATGCCCGCGACTTCTTTACCAAACGCTTGGTCACTTTAGTCGCATTGGATTGTGTGGCTGCTTCGTGTGATTTCCCCTCTTTGGTCACACATGCACTTGCCTTCGATAACCGTCGTGTCAGCTCCACTCGCCACCTTCGCGCCTGACCCATCGTTTTATCCAGTCGACGTTTCTATACATCTATGTTCAGATTTGGGCTGCTGCTTCCCCTCCTTCACCATAGCCTTCATTGAGGGTATCTCCGTATTTGACCAGCCGGTGGGTCTGCGACGGCTAGCGCGTCCGTCCATTGGGCAACGACGGCCTGGGCAGGGCCGCTAACCACATCGGGCGTGCCCGGGGCCGCCAAACAGGCAGCCATCAGCCTTTACCTAATACGACAACCTCCAAGCTGCCGTACATAAACTCATAACGTCTTCTCGACAGCTTTCGCGATCATCTACCATTTATCACAAGCTACGAAACTCGCGCTGTCCCAATGGCGTCTGATCCTATCCCTCCACCCTCCAACTTTCAGCCGCAAAGCCCGCTGTTCTATGTCATACCTGGCGAGATCCGTAACGAGATCTTCCAATTGGCGCTCATGCAGGATGAAGACAGCGCAGCTGCGTATCCGGAAGACTCGTACTGGTACCGACCAGGTTTCTCAGGTCCGCTCAAGGGCAGCAGTGCACTTTTGCGCACGTGTAAGCTCGCGTACGCGGAGGGTCAGAAAGTGTTCCTCAGAGAGCTGGAATGGGCTTTTTGGTTTAGTATGTTTATGCGAAGCCTCTGACGTTACGCCAAACTGATCTCGACGTAGATCGTGGACCTGATGGCCGTACATGCACTCCAGCGTGCGAAAAGTTCTTCCGCAACCTAACTCCACAAGCCGTGCAGTCACTCCAGAAAGTTCGTCTTTTCACGCAGATGTTCTGGCTCGAAGAAGGCAATCAACTTTTCTACATCCTCAGCATACCTCAATTCCGACCAACCCAGCTTACTATTACCATACGATACTCCGACTGGTGGTTCTGGGAAAGCAATTCGCCACTGAGTATGGAAGAAAAGTGGCTACGTTACTTCGAAGGAAACCCCGGCTTGCGCGTACTGAGGGTTGAGTACGAGACGCTCAGTTGGAAGAAAGCGGAGATGATGCGCATCATCGAGCGAAACAAGAAATGGAAACTACCTGTACGAAGAGAAGGCGGCAACTTCCAGAATAATGAGCTCGAGGGATATCTGAGCGCTGAGAACACTGAGCTGAAGGAATGGACTTGGAAGGGCCCAAGCAAGCTGGATGGACAAAGTTGGATTCACCACGGTACCGAAGATAAGGTCGAATATGTCGTCGTAACGGATACCTGGAAGTTCGTGGAAGGCGAACTCACCGAGAAAGAGATGGAGGGCCGATTGACCACTATGATGCGAGCACCTGAGTTGACGCGGGCCGAGATGGAAAGACGCCGCAATATAGGCGCATGGCGTGGAAGGCTTCGGGAGAGGAAAACTACACAGTATGCAGTTTAGTCAGAGATGTTTGCTTCACTGCGGGTAACATATCCTGTACCACTCTGCAGCGATTACTACATGAAAATTTGACAATCGCCTATCGCTTACAACCCTTTGCGCCTTGTGACGACCATCCGAGTGCTATATGCCCTAATCTTGCATTTAACATTAACGTCGACAGATTTTAGCGCTCGATAAACCTCAACTCCAACTTTTCTGGTTGTCTGACATGAAGCAGCAGCGGGTCTGCACATGAGTCCCGCAGAATACTCATCACCTTCTGTCCAGCCACCCCCACCTTCTCGTCGTCTTGACACACCACTTCAACCCGGACCTTTTCCAGGACGCTACTCAACACACTGCAAAACTCCACCTTACTAAACTTCATTCCCGGGCAGATCCTCGGGCCAGTCCCCCATGCGAAGAATCCACTACCACTCGTTGGGTGCTTGAGTTCTTCAGCAGACAGTATCTCGGTTAGAGTTACCTTGCTACTTCCGGCGGATTGCGACTGAATCCAGCGCTTCGGGTTCCAAGTAAGCGAATCGGGGAAGTTGGCGGATGAGGTGTGAGAAGCCCATGAGTTGAGCATGATTTGGGTGTTAGCCGGAAGAACGACATTCTCATGGGCTTTCTTGGACTCTAAACTGGTCTGTGGGATAGTACGCTGGGGATGTGCAGGAAAAGTCGAACGCGGAAGAGGTGGCGAAGGACTGTAGAGACGTAGCGTTTCGTACTTGCAATTCTGTTAGTCTTCGATCATACGATGCGTAACAGTAGATGACTGGTGTTGATGGCGAACGAAGACGTACCATAACAGCGATTACCCTCTTCAGTCGCGGGAACATTCTTGCATACTCCGGGTCATCAGTTGCTTCGTCTTTCAGGACTTCATCCAGCTCTTCCACTACCCAGTCTTGGACCTCAGGGTGCACAGCCAGTAAAGCCAATGCGTATGATAGTGTGATTGAAGTAGACTCCAGTCCACCAACTGTGAAAATAAAGATATTGCCTCTTAACTCAGCGTCAGATAGTTTAGCTTTCGAACCCGCACTTCCAGTGTTGGTTGCATCGTTGGCCCTGATCAGCGTACTGATGAGTGTAGCAGCTTTGGGTTGCCCGCCGGTCACTTTTGATCGCTCTCTTACGACAGTTTCGTCCATGTATTGCCGGAACTCATGCATGGCGAGTAGCAGCCTCCTAGTACTGGTTGGAAGTAGCGATCCGAGTACGGGCAATTTGAAGACTGGCATGATACCCTCTATAGCCGGAGAGATCGAAGTACTCATCACCGTCACTAGTGCATCGCGAAGTGACAGTTGGTGACCTGGTGTCGGCTGATTGACTTCAGTATTCTCGAAAGCGACCGAAGAGATGACATTGAGCGCCAGTGTACTGGTATCTTTGATCATGCTGTTCGTTCTTCCGCCGGGGGATGAAAGCCAACGCTCGATCATGTTTTTCGACTGTTGCAGAGCTTCGTTCCATACCGTGACTGAGGCTCGCTCGTTGAAGCATGGCGCTGTGAGTTTGCGATGACGGATCCAATCATTGCCATTTGACTTTTTGCGTTAGCTTTTACGGTCCCGAGTACTAAGAATATGGGGTGAACTGCGAGTTTCCAGAGCATATGGCACATACCGTGTCAACGTTTTGCCCAAACGTGCCCAATATCTCTACAGCCATAGTCAGTCTCCGATTCCAGTCTCCTATCACACATCGTCGGACTCACCGTTCACATTATCAGGCTTTACATAACCCATCCAATTCTTGAGTACATGATCAATCGTTCTCGGGTCACTAGTACATAGCACATTATGCCCTGGCGCCACCACAATGAAGCAAAGACCAAGTTCTTGATGTAACTTGTCGTTATCTTGCCAGCAGCATGTCCAGTCAATGGCCCTGAACCACCGGTATCTTTCTAGGCGCGTTCGGAATAGACTGGCCACCAGCTGCCATTGTAGAGTATATGGGGTGACAGGACTTATGATGGTGCGCAAGCCAGACTTACGTGCGGACAGGTAATTGCGATAGAGTTGGTACAGCGGATATGTGATAAAGACATGAGCGAAAAGACAGAGTATGGTTGCGATGATCATCATAGCAGGCATTGGTCGATAATTTGAAACTCTGATTGACTGCGGGCACCTTGGTGTAGCTAGAATTTAGAAGACACTGGACATCTGTGATCTGGGTGTTTGCGCGCTGAGATTGCACATCACGCGGGGTCACACATGCATCGTGCTTATTGAGGCAGGCGCAACTTGATGTTCAAACGAATGGATATCAAAAGTCGCCTTCATCCGACCATCGACTTTTCACTTATGCGGAGATACGAACTATCAGACAGAGATAATCGCATAGCAGTAGAGGCATGAAAACGCAATGCGCACGCGCAGCGCGCATGCAGGCGCATATCACACACGTGATGTCATCCTACTCTACATCACAACCTCCACGAGCAAGGTTGCAGCAGTACAATCCTGCCACATCTGAGACACGAGCAAGCCTGCGCATGCACGCCTCACCGAGGCACGTCTGCAATGCAGGGTCAAAGATACCGAACGTGTCAAAACATGCAGAGCCGACCCGCGACGCACGTCAATTACTCGACAGGAGGGATGCGCCCGTCTTGGGTTGAACATGGCATCGTGGACACTTGCAACGTCGAATGTTTGATCTACAACATGTGTTCGCAGGAGATTGCGGATGGGTATTTTGCTGGATTTACCGTAGTAGCAAACTTGTATGTTTCAGGCTTTAGCCTGGCTTGTTTCATGGATCTGGTAGGTATGTGTGATTCGGAGTGGGTTGGGGAGAAGCATTAGCCGGTCGCGTTGAATGATGATGTCGCGATGAGAGGCGCAACGGAGCCGAACGTGTCGGGGGATTGTCAACTTTCCCGCGAATTGGAATGCAGTCGTCAACAGTAACAGTGATGTTGTTTCCACAGTTATTCCATATCGTTGATGTCAACAAAGGCAAGGCAATGGGACCCAATACGTGGATATGCGCATGCTGCATGTACATTGAGGCAGAATTGTAGGTACGCGTGGGGAGCAGTCGGTGGTCGACACCCGACATTGCCGTCTGCGATGCGGGGTCAGAAGGCAAAGACCTAGTATTGGTGGTTGCAGGGTGTGTAGACGTAAGTATACATGCGTGCTGAAAGGTAGCACCACGCTATGACAGCTGGTACCGTGGTTCGCATAATGCGAACCCAGCCACAAGGCAGGCGCAGCAAAACTCAAGCAACTTCAACATGACTAAATGAACTACGACGCTGGACTGCAACACGATCAATGCGCGAGTTCTCTCGGCCCGCGATGCATGCAGAGATTTTCCTACCAGATCAGCCCATGTTTCCCAGCCACCCCGGCGTATCCCGGGATGGCTGGCTGAGCACGTTCTCCTCGGTGTATTCGGATAGCGATGGAAGAGCTCGAGCATCCTGTGTGTGGACCACCGTTGACGCGTATCTAGCTTTTAGCAACGCTTTGGCGTATATAGCCCGGGCCTAGGCGTCATAGCCCGTTACATTCGGTGAGTAGTCCGTTCGCATAGCCACGGATTAGAGGTTCGGCCAAAACCAGCTCGGCTCGAAGTGTTTTTGCTTTGCTCGGATACGACAACACGACCCGGTAGTCCTGAATTTGATTACCTATCGAAACACACTAGACGATTCGTAGGCTAGAAGGGAAGGCGTAGGTGGTAGAATATCGCGCGATGCTCTCGGTCCTGTGTAGAGACCCTCGGATGGGAGCTCTAGAATGCCGTCATATTACCGACGCACTGAGGTATATTGACCATGCCTTTAAGCGACTGTGGTGATTTATCCAGCCGCCCACTACCAAGGACGCGGGTAACGCACTTTGCTTTCCCTAGCGAGCCGGTGTAGTATCGAGAAGATATCGAAGGTGGCGTGTTTCCAGTAGATAGCGCAATAGCGCTTGCACGCGTTATCTGTTCGCCTGTTGCCCGGCGAAAGTACGTCTTTGGATAAAGATGAGTCGATGTATGGAGCGTCGATACCGGTACAGCCGCGTTCTGCAGTAGTATACCGGGTCGCTATGTGTCCATACAGCTGGGTCCGACGGTCAGTACAGCAAGGACGTCGCGGTAGGCTGAATGCACCCATGGAAATCCATCGCCGCCTATGCATAGTTGCGCTGAGACCCTTCTTAGAACGTATGTTCCTCAATTCGAGTCATTCCAAGGTTCTTGATGATCGTATGTAATCCGCTTCATAGCGTGGGGCATACTGCAGTGTACCCTGAATTGTGGCAAGACATACAATTGACGCATGTAGGTATGTCGTGCGGATCATGCACCGCCCTAGCCACAAGCGACTCTGCTGCGAGATGGCAGCCTGCTTTGGCTGCCGTTGAGATGCTGCATGGAGGCGGAAGTCGACATGTGTGCCCACCGGCGACTTTCTGACTCAAGTGACGACTCCAAAACGTCTGCGTCGCTGCCGGCACTTTACAAGTACATACATACGCTGAGCGTGCGGCGCAGCGGGGGGAGCACGGCCGTCTACTTCACCCTAGCTCGCCAGCAAGCTTTTAGATTGCTTCAACCTTCCATTGAAGATCCGAGGTACAAGAATAGAAGAGCGGTGAGGGTTTCGCTTCTAGAGGATGTTTGTTGCCGGCAAAACGGGTAGTCATCTCAACCGAACAATGAACCCCTCACTTCGATTGTTCATTGTTGAACTTTGTTGAGCATCGAAGAGCATCTGGAGTGCAATCGAAAAGACGCTAGAGAACGTCGGAACAAGCGAGTCGTCCACAGAGCGTGACAAGGGGTGGGGCGAAAACCCATGAAGCAAGACCGGTGAGCGTGTCGACCCGCCAATCAAAATCAGAGGTCGCACCCCACGAGCTGCAAGGAGCGGTCGTGGCTTACTTGCTCCGTCGATACCCCGATAACGGCTCTGCTGTCTCCTGACGTGGCCGGTGGTGATTGGTAGCCGAACGCCTATCTGAACGCTTGAACGAGGATGTGGTGCTGATCAATATGGAAGCAAGGGCTCCAGAATGACCGTCGCGGGAGAATTCAATATCTCGCTCTGAACCCACGACGGTCGCTTCGCGCTCGTGTGCTATCAAGCGAAGACATGAAATTGTCAGTGGAACCGCACGTGAAGGCCTTATTCCAGCAGTTCGATCGAGCCGTGATCGTGGACGACTGAGGGGCACGAGCTTGGCTCAGACCATGCAGGGATACCCTATATCACATGCATATGCAAGTGCGGCTTGCTGCATACGCGGCGTTATCCAATCGAAGGCTAGATTGTCCCAAGCGCGGCCGCATCGCGGGATTGCCTCACGCTGCAGGAACGTTTGTACATGTGTTCGAGACGGTCTTTGACTTGGACGTGGAGAATGATTTCTTTTCTCTAGAGCGGTATTCTCAGTGAAGCAAATGATAAGCTTGGTAGTTGTACTAAGCAGGCTCAGGGCGACGCCCTCGTCCGGGGATACAGACAGCTGTGGTCCGAGTACAGATTGCGCTTTATTGCCAGTTGGACAGGAATGTACACAGACCCCACTGCGTGGCCACTACACGAGAACACGATGCTCGAGGGAGCTAAGGCTGATGCAACAAGAGTCGCCCTTTTGATGAACCCTGTCAAAGGATCGAGAATAGAACGCTGGTCTTGTGCTGAGAGGTTGAAACCTCTGGGCGCTCGACCGGATCGGTCAAGGACGGTATTTGCTCTGACACACTGATGTTGCCAGTCCCGACTGCCGCTGTGGTGGTGGTCAGCAAGTAAGAGGTAGAGACAGGCGCGGGCCTTTCTCCACGATCCGCTCCCACATCGCGCCGGCTGCACTGCACGTTTATTTACACCTGTGCATATCTGCTAGCCACGGTAGTCCACGCGACGAGGGTGTGACTGCGCCTTGGTGAGGAGATGGTGCGCACAGCTCCTTGAACGTAGACTTACACACGGTAATACGGTGCGGGTCGCTTGAGCTTCTGGTCCTACCTTTCGCCTCTGGTGTGATTCACATACTAGCAACTGTACTACCGCACTGTAATAGAGTTCCTGGCATGGCCATTCCAATCTTGGCGAGGATCAACTGACGATGCGATATGCTCCGACAGCCCTCATCTGATGCCGTCAGTAGTGGTACAGGTGTGCGGGAATGTTGTTCCCGACCAGACTTGAGACCACATGTTGCAAGATAACATGGGAGGATTGGCCGTCAGAGCATCAGTGTACGCTCCGCGGCTAGCAGGGGGGATCAGATGGATGCGAACAGTTGGTTTGGCGCCTGAGGCGATAACATGGGCAGGACAGGTGCCAACTGTCAAGTGGCTGGCCTGCTTTGAGTCCCAGAGTCGAGGCTGTCACCGTTCGCATGGTTGTGGCAGGGATGGAGGCGGATTCTCCCGTGCGCTGTGCTGCGAATCCCGTGACGCAGTGACATGGCAGGGCGTTTCT